AATATATATCATAAAATCAATAGTGCTGATACACCGAATAGCACATCTAGGAAGCTGACTAAGATGCAGTTTTAAACTCTGTTGATTTTATTGATCAACAGCGGAGCAACATGGACAAATCCGGTCATCTGACGGAAGCACATATTCACCATTCATTACTTTGCTGGCCAGGAATTGATTGAGAAACCGGTCTAAAGGTTCAATCATTTCTGTTTGTATAAAAAAAAAAAATTTTTTAATCCTACTCACACCTGTCATCACAGGTAAACGGAGGCAGCTCCTGAGGTGTGTCACCTATTATAGTCAGGAGAACATCTAAAAAGTCCTAGAGGTTGAATTGTGCAATTATGCTTTTTTCTTAGAGGTAAGATTTGGTTTATTATAAATAAACAAACCAAAGGATACATTTGGTTTTCTCTTAAACCCAACACAAAATTGCTGCCATGTCCATGACTTGTTTCTCGTTATTGCTGGTGAAAATCATGTGGACTCCAAACTGGATCCAGCACAGAAACAAAGACAATCTAGTTTGAGAGAGACCCGAGTAACATGCCACACAAAGCAGTTGGGTTTTGGGAACAGAAGAGTTGTAAGTTCTCTCCACCATGCTTAGGTGGAATAACAAAAGGAAACTACAAGCCAAGTTATCAATAAGTAATATCAAAACGGAGATGAAACAAGCTAATGTTAGCCTAGCTTTGCATACGGCCCAAGGTTCGAAAAAATTCTCAGTACAGTGAGACTGAGAATGTTGTGTAAGGGGTTGCATACCAAATCAAAAAACTCCTTTAAAAATACAGATGAGCAAACTTAAGAGGAGAAATGTATCGGAAATATTTGAGTTTATTAGACTATTTCTTCTTTTCATGGGGTATACTTAAAAATTAATGAATAGATGACAGTTTTGGGTTTGTTTTTTCTTTGGAACTTTACAGAAATAACAAAAGTCTGATTAAATTTGAGTTATATTTCAATTCAACTGTCAAATTAATTCAATCAATTACATTTTTAGACATACTAAAGTTCAGGAATGTGTTCACGTTTTAAGCCGTGAAAGGAAAATATGAAACTTTAAAAATTCACCAGCCTTTTCAGTTAGTAATCCACATTTGTGCAGTGAGAGCCTTTACACAAAATAAAGATGGAGCTCTGAGCTGAGCTCTTTCATTGTATACGGACAGCTGACTGAAAACGTAGAAATGTGGTAATTTCTTACGAGTGGTCAATAGAAAAATAAGTGTTTAATTCCATAGTTAAATCACCTGACAAGTAGAAAATACAATTCATTTGAACTACTTTTTCACGTTTTCTTTAAAAAAAAAAACTTTGACAACATTTCTCTGCAAAATATTAATTTTATATTTACATTAAATATCAATTTGTGGGTATTGCACAAATTTGTTAAATGCGTCAAATTAGCCTCTTCAAGCTGTGTGCATGTGTTGAAACTGTGCTGCGCAGCAGAGTTTGTACTGAAGAGGAAGAGTCCCATGTGTCAGCATGCATTCTGAGGTTGAGCCATCCAGCCTGTTGGTCAACAACCATCAGCACAGAAACACCACAAACAAAGTCTCTTCTGCAACGACCAATGTTTCTCCAGTTCACGTTTTCCCGACCTGCTCAGCCTCCGGGAATAGTAAGCAAACTTTCCCCCCCCTCAACTGTGTCAGCCCAACCTGCAGTTTCAGCTGCTCAAGCCCCGCTGCTCGAAGGACCCGCTGACAGCAGCCGCGGTTTAAAACTCTCTCCACGCAAAAACACGAACGCCCGGCGTGGAGCCGTGGAGACGAGCCTCCGGTTACTCACCGCCACGTTTCTCCGCAGTTCAACCGAGTCTCAGCCCAAACTGTCAAAAGCGTCCAAACTTTTCTAAAAAACACTCCAACATTCCTGCTTCCGCTTCCTGAAACCAGCTGCAGCAACAGAAGCAGCGGCAACATGCAGAGAGGAGGAGGAGGAGGAGAAGGAGGGAGAGAGGAGGCGTGTCCTTTGCGCGCTGAGGCGGGGAAACACTGACCCCTGCTGGATCACTGGCGCTGCTACAACATTAAGGTCCGCAAAGAGTGATTTTTAAAGGACCTTCGTGTTTGGTGTAAACGTTTTAAATTCACGATGTTTTCTTTAACTTAGCTATGTCTGAACGCTTATAATAATCTGCCACTTTTATAGTGGGTTCAAATGAAAGGCTGTCGTTAAAGGCATTCCAGATTTGTGTTTCTGTTGCAACGAGTCATCCAGAAAAACAAAAAAATCATTTCACTGTTTGACTACATTGAAGCATAATTTCTGTTCTGGTTCATTTTGAAGACCTGGGAGGATATACAACCACAAATAATCTACACAAAAGTGAACAAAAACAAACAAACAAAAAAACACTACGAATGGAGGACTGACATCAAGGTCTAAAATGAATAAATAAATAGTAGCAGAGGGATTTTAGAGGTTCCTGAGGAGCTGTTAATATATTGTGTGACAAAAACTTCACATGATTTCTATGCTGGATTTTTTTTTTTTTTTTTTTTTTTTTAGCGTTAGTCTGATTTCCCATACCTAAAATATTAACAGGTTGCTATTTTTTTGATATGTCAACGATGAATTACAAAAACACATTTTTCAGCCTGACTTTTGTGTCAATGGATCTTTGGAGCTGGTTTTATTTAGAGGCTCACCAAATAGGTGTTGGAAATATCATTACTTCCTGAAGCTCTGGTTAAAATCTGAGCAAAACTATCTCTACTGTGAGAAAAATATTTGTGTCAGTGGTTAATGTGGTTAAAAAAATATTTTTCAAATGCAGAAAAGGACAAGCAATCTGAGTTGTAACCAGTTAAATTGTGCTTTTGCTTATGAGAGACTTCACTGTAATACCTTTAACTCTATTTTGTTGTTGTTGTTGTTTGTGCAATGACAAAAATCCAAATCCAAAGGTACACATGCAAACAATTACAACATATAACTGATATATACAAAAAACAAAGTTTCAAATGGAATTATTTAAACCAATAGTACCTGCAGTACTTTTGGTTTACCGCTAGGTGGCAACCAAACGCTGCTGCTTCTGTTGATGAACAGTTCTGCAACATACAATTTCAGAGGTTTTAACATTGTTCTCATTGAATTGTACAGATACTGTAGCTGTTGAGGCCATAAGTGCTATCATAATTAAGAGGCACTGTGAAACACAACACAAACACAACATGCTTTCAGTAAAGCACGCTTTAATGCTTTATGGGGGACTTATACCCAAGAGTTTACCCAAAATTTCTTATTTTGGCGTCAGGTGTGACTGGATGCTCTACTGTGGGTGTTTTCCTTATGAATAGGGTGATCTGACCTTCTCCTCACACACACACACAAACGCACCACCAGTCACACAGCCAACAGTGTAGAGTAATAATTATTATTTAACACAGAGTGCTGAATGGTTTGTTCATTTCAGCTTTAAAGAAGCAGGAAAAAAACTACATTTCTTTAATTAATTTATTTTTTTGTTCATTTTACAGATAAGGTGATGCATTTAAGCCAAATAAAAACGCTCCTGGTTCTTTTTTATGACTGATATCAGCAATCTGCCTGATAGCACATGAAGTTGTACCTTGATAAATCCAAGCAGGCATTGATTTTAGGTTAACCATTAGCTGTCACCAGGTCCACATTGATGCACAGATACAAAAGTCCTCCAAAGCTGCCTGGCTACCACTCAGCAGCCACTCTGTCACCACTATAACAACCACTGCACTGCAAAGCAGCTTGCTCCAAAGTCCACATCCTTCTTTCTGGAGAGTGAGAGCAGATACAGCCCGCCTGATTTCCTAAAGGGGAGCAAGATAGTTAATGGTTGCCCTTTGTCGATAAACCCAGTCCTCTACACCTGCTGTGTCTTCATCAGTTCAGGTTTTAAGTCATTCACTGTAAACAGGCTGCATGATGATGACTAAATAAAAAGGATGATGATGACTAAATAAAAAGGATCCTAAAATCCTGTGAGGCTTGAAGTTTCTTTCTAAATAAAACCTAAAAATGGGAAGTAGTTTTTTACTTCCCAGAAACCATTGGTTCAAATGTTGTATGTTGCAGAAAAACAACAACACAATACTGTGTCAATCAGGAATCAACAGCAAGAACTGGAAAATAAAGAGTTTATTTTCATTAAAGTCAAAAGTCAGAGCTGAGAATGAAATTACAATTAATTTAACAGAGTTAAAAAATACTGCAAGCCTGAAAACTGAATTAATTCTGTTGACTATTAAAAGGACAAGGCAACTCAATGAAAATAACTTAAAACAAGTAGTAAAATAATATTATTAAGTGTAGATACTAAGAAAAAAAAAACCCTGGTACATCTATCACAAAGCCAAATCTCCATTTACAACCTGCTCAGCTGCTGCGGAAAGTCAGAAGAGTAGCCGTTTGAATCTCCCTTCAGCTGTAGTAACATCTCACATTCCTGTCTTGTTGGCAGGTTTACATCGGCTTTGATCTGGGATGAGAATAATCAACAACATCTCTTGTAACGCAGAAACAAAGTGAGAATTTGAAAAGCACTCGTCTGATTTGAATTGGTCAGCGTCCAGATGAACAGCAAGATCAACATGTTCATCATACACAAGTAACATTACTGTAAACACATGAGTATTACTTCCCCTCCTTCCCATAAGACATCTATGACCTAGATTACCAGCACTACCATGTCAGTCCTCATCACCAAGTACTCAAGTTGCCATTGTTAATGACAATGACTTTGTTGATAACAGTGACTATGAGGAGGATGCTGGCATCATCTTCAGGTATACTTGAGTCTGTTTGAGTTGACAGATGGTCAAGTTTCATCACAAAGAGAGAGAGAAAGAGAGAGAGAAAGACAGAGAGAGAGAGACTCGCGATTTAATGACGTAAGCACCATATGGCGCGTGCCGGGAGGGTGGAACCTCGATATGCTAATTACTCGCGGCCCCCCGCACGTGGGCTCGGGTGTGTGTGCGTGTCCGTGATGCTGAGTATAAAACCAGCGGCATCTCGCGCGCTCTTCAGAAAGCTCCCATCAGGTCACGCACAGTCACGCACGGACACAGACGGAGCGCGCGGGATGCCTGCGAACTGACGAGCACCGTTCATTAAACAACAGGTAGGCTTTTTGACGCACTTGTTATTTATGCCGTTGGCTCCGTCCTATGAATACAGCAGGACGGGTTGACGCTAAAATTAAAAGCGGGTCACCGGGGGCCTGAAGCGCCACATTTAAGTCATTAACAGGTTGCCTGGAAAACTTTGTCTCAATCAGAAAGAGTTAATCCAACCAGAAAGAGTAAAACAAAATCTACAATAATTACAGCTGATTTCTAAATAGAAAAATTGCATTGTGTCCAATTGAATTATCATTATTTTTCTCGTTGATAATTATTTATGCTCAACATTTTTTTAAGGCTTGCATAAAAAATAAAATGAAAATAAAAAAATCTACTGAAATATTCCAGTTAGATGATCTTTCTCGTATCCTGCTCTTCTTCTTTACTGTTCTTCTTAAATGACGGAGGTCGAGCGAAATGTTCATCTGTATCACACGACAAATGAACGGGACATGTCAGGAGCAGAAAAAAAGATTTTATTTCAAAAGCCAAAAAGATTATTATTATTATTATTATTATTATTATTATTATTATTATTATTATTATTATTATTATTATTATTATTATTATTATTATTATTATTATTATATGTAACACATATTGGCTTCATGTATTTAAATGCAAAATTACTCAAAACACGTTCAATTTTGAATGGAAGGTAATTTAAGTATTTTTTAAATTATTATTATTCATTTTTTTACTTATTTATTAACTATTTATCCACTCGTTCGTTCATTCGTTTGTTGAGTCGGTTCGTTAAATGCGGAGAAAAAAATGAGTTCTTTCTGAGTTCGGATTGTTCCGCTTTTTGTTTTTGCCTTCTTCCATCAATCAATCTATCTGTTGATTTGTTTGTTATTTCCTGAAACCGGTCTGGAGAGCAACTGCACGCTGCGGAATTAAAAGTCGCGCCGTCGTCCGGACTAAATTAGGAGCGTTTGAATTGGGTCAGCGTGTTGTTTCTACTTTTTCGTTAGAATCGCATTGATCCCAAAGCTGGATTAAAATGGAACGGAAATAAAGTTCAAAATGTTAAAAATAGCGCCTGTTGTAAATTTGGAACCAATTTTTTCCAAATCGGAAATAAAATTTTCCTATGAGGTGAATAAAAGCATCATGTACCTGACTGGTTTACAAAAAAAAAAAAAAAAAAACACACACACACACTTTCAATAATAATAATAATAATAATAATAATAATAATAATAATAATAATAATAATAATAATAATAATAATAATAACAACTTTTTGTTCGCAGAGCATCAGCATCATGACCAGGTCTGTGAGGGAGGAGCTCACGTCGGTGGAGTCGGACGAGCAGCGGGAGCTCTGCAGCCCTGCAGGCAGAGAGACGGAGAGGGCAGGAGCGGAAGCCGGGATGGAGGAGGAGGAGGAGGAGGAGGAGGACCGACTCCACCACCCGGAGGAGGACGAGGAGGAAGACGACGAGGAAGATGAGGAGGAAGAGGAGGACGGAGAGAACAAGCCCAAGAGGCGAGGGCCGAAGAAGAAAAAGATGACCAAGGCTCGCCTTCAGAGGTATGGTTTGTCCTCCATGGCATAAATAAGCGAGTGAAAGAGACTCCCTGAATGTAGAAAAAGTATTTATGACGCAGAAACTGAATGAGATGGCAGGAATTTAAAATCTAAATAAGGACCCCTCAGAATAGTACATGAAATCCGTGCAACATGTATTTCATGCAGATTTCCTTGAACTCTTAGTTCTACCAATGTAGAATGGTGTTTTCTATCATTGGTGCAAAGAGACTGAGGCTCAGAAGAAACTAATTTTTCGTCTTAATTAATAATGTAATTTTATAAAGTTTGTTCTAATATTTGTCCCCGTGTCACAAGGTGTGTGAAATGTGCTGTTTAAAAATTAAATTGTACTTCTATCATTCCCAGCATTATCTTTAGGCAAAGGGCTTAAAAAGGCCATATCAATGTGTCATAGTAACCCTGTTAAATTTCCTTCTCAAATTGATTTCTTTTGTTGTTGTCGTCTCACATGAGCTTTGTGTGAGTCAGTCTTTATGACTGCAATCCATTTCTATACATCTTTTCCTAAAAATCAACTTGTGAACATAAAAAAAAAAAAAGCGGTGGCATGGTAGTAAACGATAGTATGTCTAAACCAACATGTTGATCTTAACACTTGTCCAATTACAATTTAGAACTTTGTAAAGATGACATTTAGGACACGGCTGGTTGTTGCCCCAATCCTGCCCCAACAACACTCACATAATTCTTGCGACAAAGCCCATTTTGCAAAACACTTTTCATTGCATGACTTATGTTTTATAAAATAATTGCACTTAAAATGCTTTAAAATAATCATATTAGTATTATTGTTAAGCTATTCCGTCTCAAATACTTTAAATGATGATTGGCTTGTTTAGTATTTTAGGTTTTCTACAAACTTTAATGAAATTAAATATAAGTTATTCAAATATGAAAAAGGAAAGAAAACAAATCCTTTAAATTTTCTTACATTGTACGCAACACGTGGCCACTCCTTGTTTAGCAATTTGTTGATCAGCCTGAGTTATTAAATATATATTTCTCAATATATATTTAATAACTCTTCTTCTGTCTGTGCAGGTTTAAGATCCGTCGAATGAAGGCCAACGCCCGGGAGAGAAATCGCATGCACGGGTTGAACGACGCTTTGGAGAGCCTCCGAAAAGTCGTCCCCTGTTACTCCAAGACCCAGAAACTGTCCAAAATTGAGACCCTGCGCCTCGCCAAGAACTACATCTGGGCTCTCAGTGAGATCCTGCGGTCTGGCAAAGCCCCCGACCTAATGAGTTTCGTCCAGGCACTTTGCAAAGGTGAGAAGTTTAGCACTGTGAATCCTAAGCTATATTAGGACATACTTGATGAAATTATAGTGAAAAATTTCGATAATGTAAATCCCAAATTAACAATTTCATTTTCACACTTGCAAGCTCTTGTAGATGAGAAGACGTCAAAAGAGTCTGACAATATGATGTGGCCATTTTTTTGTTTATTATTTACTTGCTACTTAATGTGGCAATTAAGTAATAAGTGACCATATGTTCAGGATTACGAACATCTAACTACTATATTCTCAAAGATAGTTAAAAAGAAAAAGAACAGGTAACAGAGGGGGAGGCCTTCTTTGTAGCAGAGAACTCCTTTCTTTCTAAAGTCAAAATAAAAGTTTTAAACAAACAAGATTTATCTGAATCTGAGCACTCATCTTAAAATCAGGGACTCATAATGACAACTCAGACTAGCACCTCATGAAACAGGATTCACTTTAAAGGGACATGTCATGAGATCTTGTTTCACTCCAAATCATCGATCGTTACTGACCGTAAACCTGTGTTCTGTGTTCTCAGGTCTTTCTCAGCCGACCACCAACCTGGTGGCAGGCTGCCTGCAGCTGAACCCTCGGACCTTCCTCCCGGAGCAGACACCCGACATGCCCACGCACCTTCCCCCTGCCGGTGCCGCCGCGTATCCCGGACACTTCTCTTACCAGAGCCCTGGACTGACAGCCGGTTTGCCCAGCCCCCCCTACGGTACCATGGACCCTTCCCATATTTTCCACCAGGTCAAAGGTCAGCCATACGGTTCCTTGGAACCCTTCTTCGATGGAGTCCTGGTGTCCGACGGCCCGGCATTTGACCCACCTCTCAGCCCGCCCCTGAGCATCAATGGTAACTTCTCGTCTTTCAAGCACGAGCCCGTCGCTGGCTCCGACTACGACAAGAGCTTTTCCTTCAGCGTGCACTACGGAGGCGGAGGAGCCGGTGGCCATCCCTCCATCTATGGCAGCGGGGGGCCCAACCCACGGTGCGGTGAGCTCCAGGTGGAACAACTGATGGGGTTTGACGGACACTCACACCACGAACGGCTGATGAACGCCCAGTTAAACGCCATTTTTCATGACTCCTGAGGATGAAGGACCGTGAAACTGATGAAGACTGAGAGACCGTGCCATGAGAAGACCACTATCTTTTCATTGCTGTCTTGTTTTTCATCTTTCTGTCCTCATCAAGGTCTTTAACTTCTCTTTATGATGGCAGTTCAACAGTTGCCATAACCTTCTCTGTAGCGCTTCACCTGGCAGGAGTCGCTCTTCGAATGTCTTGTCAGTGTCCATATTATCATTTAAAAATAATCAACAATCAATGAGCAATAATCTGGAGAAAACTATGCAATTTTGTGAAAAATCTGGGCAATGCTCGGACGATGATTCCAAATGTTGAAAGAATAAAGACTTTTCTATATTTTTGGGGTCTGTGAGTGAGGCGTTGTTGGGCTGTTGTCGGGCTGAAGTGTTATCCTCGTTCATGTTGTTTTTAAGTTTTTGCTTTTTTTATGGTTTCTGTAGTGTTATGTTATCATTTCATGTGACTCTTGTTCATATTTTATAAGATAGATGTTTATAAAGGCCTTTTATTAAAAGGAATTTCACGTCATTCACCTGTTAAGACTCTATTTATCTGCAACAACCCCACAACATCACAAAATCACTACGGTTTAGACTATAAAACATAACACACTCTTTGCTAATCTCAATCCTTGTAAAATTCTTTGTAAGTCCTCTGAAAAGAGTTTGGATGAATTTCATGCTGACAGAAGTGAAAAGAATTTCCTAGCAGAGAATACCATGTCAACAACACTATCCCACTATGTGAAGGACAAAACAAGGATTGGTGTGTATGTGTGTGTGAAGGGCACAGATGTTCGTTCTGCAGGCGAGATTTTAATTTATGAAAATGATCTTGTTTATGCATGAAAGCCCCCCTCCATGCACACACACCAATGTCCTACTGCTTGATAGTGTGTCGGTGTGTGTAAGTCAACTGGGACAATATGGTGGCCATATCCCACCATTTACTCTCCTTGTTGAAGTGGAACGTTATTAAGCAAAAGACTGCCGAAAAAATTTTCTTTGTCAAGTGATGAAGAAATAATTATAGTGCAACCGTTATTTCAAAACCAAATAAAAACAAAATCAGATACAATCGTAAGTAAGGAAATCTGTGTTTTGTTTCGGTTAAGCTGAATATGTAGCTAAATATTGGGAGTTGAAAATGTGGTTTGCAGGCCAAGAAAAAAAAACAAAAAAAACAACAACTTGTAAAGCAGTATAAACCCCATTCAGTCTTGGAGACTGATATTGGATTAACCAGAGGCTACATTGAGAATTTGAGAAGATGCAAAGATCTGCCTCAACCTCACTGAACATTTTGAGAAGCAGCTCGGACCTCGCTGTTGCGCCAAATTCGAACACTCAACACTTTGACTGACCCGCCATACATGCTGGTTTGAGAAGATGGATCCCATCCTGCATCACTTGTCCAAGCTGGTCACCATCATGGTGTTTTTTTTCTAAACTAAAAGCCCAGGCAGGTGAATGAATAAATAGATGAATTCAATCACACAATAAAATGAAACACACCAATCAAGAATTAACAGCAGAATAAGCTATTTACAAACTTTAAGTAGAAAAACATTGGTTTTCCAATGATATAAGAAATAGTGGAAAGAAGCATTGTTACAATAAAGGCTTGCTTAGCTTCTCTTAGGCTCAGGAAAGACAAGGAAGCACAAAAGCTGTGAAAAGCTTCTTAAGTGGCATCTATAAAGTTCATTTCACCCTTATTTGAGCATCCTAAAAATATCATGCAACAGCAGCAGCAGCACTACGAGCATTACAGCTGCATTGTGAGCAGTCTTTGTGATTGGGGTTTTGTGTTTCAGTCTGTTGACTGATCATAACACTGATTAATGCAGATTTAAACTCAGCCATCTGCCAACAGCACACATGCTGAGTGAGTGTTTGAGCCGGAGCTCATAATATGGAATTAATACCACAATCCACCCCCCATCCTTTCTGATTGGCCGGCAGGTGTCTGTTAAATAACATCACAGGACACACATCACGACAACAATCCAGGTGTACCAAACTGCAGGATGCCCCAAGAGATGAAAAAAGTAATATACTTCGTCGGTGGATGTAAGTCGTTTAATAGCAACAAAAGCACAGGGCACTTGGCTAAAATCATGTATTAATTCATTTTTATTTACGTGACTTCCAGTCGGCGTTGTACAGAAATGTATTTTGAAGGTGTGACCTAGTTAGAAGGAAGATCCCATTTCCCAAAAATATCCCCACTGCTTCTCTGAAATTTTCATTATTTTCAAATCACAAACAATATTCACAATATAAATTGTTCCAGCAGCTACACTATACAAATTGCAATGAGTAATAATTTTTTTTGTGTGTTTTGGTAGTGAGGTGCAAAGATGTAAACATTTCTCATAGGGGGTTTTATACAGGCCGTGTGTCATGATTTACTATTGTTTCAGATGTGCTTTGACACCCAATGATTTAAAACACCTTTGGTTTAAATCACTCTTTGTAATCCAGGATGCTGGATTCTGCATAATCCCAGCTTTTTTTGATTGAATCTATCACAGTTAAATATAATATTATTCATATAAGTGTCTGACTTAGATATGAAATAGTTTTCATGAAAACAAATAATTTCTGTCTGGTAGTACATGGGACAGACGTTTGTTTCCCAAATAATTGCGAAAACACGCGTGTGCGCGCCCCCGCGCGCTCCCTCCACGCATGCACGTTGGATCGGCCGCGTGCCCGATGAAGCCGCTACCTGTCTCCATAGCGACGATACCCCGGAAATACACACCGTGATCAGCTTACTGCTTGGTTATCGAAACAAACTTATATCCGTGCTGTTTTCTTTTCTTTTCTCTTTTTCTTTTGTTGTTTCCTCGAGTGAGTATGTCGGAGCTCGAGGCTGAGGCGCAACGGGAGCCGAGAGACAGCAGCAAGAAGAAGAAGAAGAAAAAGAAAGAGAAGCGAAGGGGAAGCGAGGAGGAGGAGGAGGAACAAGAGGAGCAGGTGGAGAAAGAAGAAGAGAAGAGGTGAGCAGTGAATGAAGTTCCTGTTCATGTTAGAAAGTTGACGTTACATGATTTATGCAGATAAGCCTTTTAGAGAATTCTTTCAAAATAAAAGACCTCTTTCAACGGAAGTGGCTGATGTTCAACTTTCACTTTTTCACACCATATAATGAATGTTGGAAAGGCATAACTCTTGAGATTGTATATGTAGGAGGAGAAGCAACTCCCAGTGCATCCTGGGTTGGAAATTACTCTTATTTTTTTCCAGGTATTTCTTTCTTTCTTTTTTTTTACTTTCATGGAACAAATAGAATTGAACTGATGAATTTACTCTGAAATTTCTAATTCATTTTATATGAGTAGGTTTCAATCAGAATTTCTTTGTAAAAATTGTGCACATTTAACATTCCGTCCATCCATCCATCCATCCATCCATCCATCCATCCATCCATCCATCCATCCATCCATCCATCCATCCATCCATCCATCCATCCATCCATCCATCCATCCATCCATCTGTTTATGCTTGCAGGGTTGTGCATAATAAATGCATAAATTGCTTAAACTGAGACCATTTTTAAAAATGTACTTACTAAACAAAACTGGTTAGATTCTGACTCATTTTAAATATTAGGTTTTCAGCTCAACCTCACAGCTTGTTGACTGTAGCTTCAGCTCTTTTATGTTTGCTGTATTCAAACTGTAGGCCTTCCTCCATCACAAGACACTTTCAATTACGCAAGTCTTTTGGCAGTTCGTAACTTGCACTAAGTTAACGTTTATTATTAAAACATCCTGGTAAAAATATGTTCTTCATTCTTACTCCCCCTGAATTTCCCCTTTGGAATGATAAGAGCAAAACTCATGGTCATAAACTAAGTGATTCTTCCAATGCCACAAAAATATAGGTGGGGTTCAAAAACATTTTCACAATGATCATTATATGTTGTGGCTGCGTGCGCCTGTGAGCTACATCACCACTCTGTGACTCAGCACAGTGGGTAATATTGACTCATTGATTGATTGATTGATGACACTCTGTGTTCACACTGTACTTCACATGCACTTTCTGTATCAGAAAACTCTGAGAAATCATTAGGTTGGGGGCTGTTTGCACTGTTCTGTTACTGAACAGCTTGATGAGTGCACAACGATAACATAGCTACTAGCTGGTGGCACAAACTAAGATTCTCACTGTTTTATTTATGCTTGCCTCAGGCGGCACTACAGGAACATTAATAAACCTCTGATATTTCTTCAGACACCATTGGTCTTTAACAAAAATGTGTCCAGAAAAACCTTTTCTTAAATGTCGTGATTCTAACTAGGTTAGACATACTTTTGACATTGTACCATAAAAAATGGGAGTACACATTGTTGCTGCAATTACTGAGCTGCTAGAAAAGTTGTTCCTGTGTCCAAGGGTAGCATAAAGATGCTTTTGAGGATCTTTTATGGTTCATTAGCTCTTCTCTCCCAGATGCCTTCCTATGTAGTCGGTTAGGGCCTTAATTTGGGTTGATGATCTACCTTTGTCTTCCTGAACAGCTCATTGTGTCCTCTGGCAGAGTCAGGGATTTTTTATTTGGTCCACTATGTGACTTTTTTGTCTCATCCCACTTAGGATGTTTTAGAAAATCTAAAAATGACTGTACTGCGATCAACCTTGGCTTTGGTGGAGTGTTGCAAGATGTCTTGTTTGTGTAGCTCAACAATCCCTCCTATTTTAATGACAGGAAACCTTTTTGTTTTTCTCATCGGGGGATTTGACTAGAAGATGATTACTGGCCACTGAACAAAAAAGATTTAATGTCTTAATATTTTATTTATCCCAAAGGTAAATGAAATGTTGTTGTAACTCATATCAACCCACTATTTTCAAAAGAGTCATTGTAGATGGTGATACTGTGGTCTCCAATAGCAGTCTGTCTTGCAACATATCCGAAGAAACCTCTGACTGACAACGCTGCTTCTGATTTCCCAGAATTTTGACTTCTCCTGTCATATAAAAAGAAAACTTGATTTACAAAAAGCTAGTTCTGTTTATCAAGAACTAGGTTGGACAATTCCCTGGTCTGTCATTGAAGTTGGTTTCTCTAAGGCACTCATATCCAGTAAGGTCACAATTCTGAGATTAAAGTCATTATTGTTTTTTTATTTCTTCAGTGATTCTACTTGTCTGAGAAAAGATAACGTGAAAGCCTGTTTCTTCTTTGTCGATTTGATTGGTTTAAGGATTGATCTACTAGTAACTTTAGTGATGGACATGTGTAAATAACGTCGGATTGGTTGAAACGAGCTCAAACTCTGTGTGTTTTTGATCCGTCAGTGAGAGTGTGTTGATGCGAGGGATCTTCAAAGTGGGGAAAAAGAGCCACGATGTCCTGCTCACACGGACCAGGCTGACATGGACCCCCATCATACCAGAGAGTCCCACAGGTCAGTTTCAATGGGAACAACTCTTATGCTGTTCAAAATGCAACGCCAGCTCCATTTTCTAAGAATGTAGCTGGTGTGGTGATGGGGACGATCTGTCTGTTTGACACCACCTGAAACTCATAGATATTTGTAAACATGCATTGCATATTCACGACACTCTTCTCACTTAAACTGTTTGTGTTCATTGTAAACATAATACATAATGCAGGAAGCCCTTTAGTCTAAGAAGACATTGCTTATATGTAGATGCTTCTGTGTGATGAATTCATAGTGCTCACCATGGGATTAATGACAAGTCTGCTGCTTTGAGAACATTTCCACACACGAAGTGATTAGTGACCAGAAATTGTTATGATGATAGGAAAGTTGTTTGAAACAATAGTCAACAAAGTTCTTCGTGCACTTTGCCCTGCACAAAGGAATATATTATCAAAGTTTTGTGCATATCAATAATATATTTTACAGGTCAAATTAATTCGGATTTCTCCCAATACCAATACTTGTTGAGTATTTGAACATATTTTCTGTAAATATTGAACTGAAAAGGTTACAAAGTTCCAAGTGCCCACAGCTTCCAGTTTCCTCACATTTCTGTAATGTTTTTGTACCACTTTGCTCATATTTAGTGCTTTCCTGTTGTGTGGTAGATTTTTACTTGGAACCCATTCAGACCGAACTGGTTAGTGATGCAGGATGAAGGTGTAAATTCAATGTGTTTGTGTGTCTGAAGCCAATCTGTTTTGTTGTATTTCATCCAAGCTAATGTCATTAAGCCAGCACTGCGTAAGCGTGCGTGTGTGTGTGTGTGTGTGTGTGTGTGTGTGTGTGTGTGTGTGTGTGTGTGTGTGCGTGTGTGTGTGTGTGTTGGCAGCACCAGAGAGCAGTTGGTTCGGCCCATGGGGGGTTATTAGAGTCTCTCAGTGTGAGGAGATTAACGCACACATACACATAGGCAGTCTGTCAGCACGCTGTGTGTGTGTGTGTGTGTTGATGAGATATTTCTATATAAATGGATCATCTGCTCTTGTTTATTTCTAAACATAAATTCATGTAATCTATTTCTGTTAGGAAACTGAAACCGGAGCTGTCAGATAGAGAGATTAGTCTTGCATTATTGCAGGTGGATAAGAGGGTTTTAAGCCATGGATAGCTGAGTTGTTTTAACATTCAAATCTGACTTTTATGGTTAATTTTCAGTCCAACTTCATTTTCACTGCTGCTCATTTTAACTCTTCCTCACTCAGTTGCAGCTTCCACAACAAACATTGTTATTTTCAACTCTTACCTAGGGTGTATGTTGTTTGAAAAAATATTGGACATTAGCATTTCCAATAGACTGATAACGTTGATGATAATGATGATAAAAAAAATCAGAACAAAGGAATTTAGTTTAATTTGATTCTTTCTGTCTAGCACTCTGTATTAGTCCTTCTTTTGACCCTGAAGGAGAAGATGCAAATTTGTTTAATTACTGGCTTCATAAGAGATAAAAAAAAAGAGATTAAAAAAAATTAAAATTCTGAGTTGGTATTCAAGAAAAGGTTTTAGTTTCCCAGGCAATTTTGAAACATCTCTTGCAATTTAGATCACATTTTAATAGAAGCCCAATGTGATACTGGATTAATCACAGTGGATTTAATGTTGTTTTGATCTTATATGAGCAAACTTTGCAATTTGTTTAGCAGAATTTCTCTTCCTTTAATCGGTTATTATGAGAACAGATGGCATCAGATTTTACTGTTTTAGTGAAAAATATTTTGTTGTTTTTTCTAAAGTCTTGCAGTATTCTAACATTTCTTTGTGGAGTCAGAATAAAAACCATAATTATATTTCAGGCTTTATTGGTGCATTCTCATGACTATGAAATGTTTATAATCTAAATCATTGTTTGAATGTAAATAGATGTTAGGTTATTGTATTTCCTATTGTCACTGAAACAAGTAACAACTTACAAAGGGGGTTTAAAATTCAGCTGCCTATAGTAGATGGTATTTTGTAACCAAAATTATAATAACAGCACAAGTTATTGGATAACATGGTACAGATATAAGGTGTAGTCCAAAGGAAATATATGATTATCCTCTGAACACATATGTTTGTGCGTGTATGCTTGTGGGTTTTTGTGTATGCGCATGATAACATTATGATCCAAAACTCCCTACAGTTACCACATGGCCCGGTCACCATGAGACTGGACTGCCACTGTGTAGTGTGTGTGCGCATGTATGCGTGTGTGTGCGTGTTGACACAGTGGGTTGTGAGGTCATGATGGGAAACTTTCCTCCATCTGGAACAAACCAGTGCCTGTGTGTTTGCAGCCTCTCTATAGGTTCCGTCAGCACAGATCAGAGTCATATTTTTTTTGCGAAGATAAAGACAGAAAGTCTTTCCTGCTGATTAGATTAGGTAGTCTGAATGAGCCATTTATATATATTATTTTTCATTAAGTTTTAAAATTTTGGTGACTTAATGGAATGATTTTAGTTTACCAAATTTGTTCACCTCTTGTTTCTGCCATCGGGTGTTTCCATCAAATACAGTTTGACAAACTGGTCCAGACTCATCAAATGAGGTCCAGAGAAAAGGAAGAGTGAATAAACCCTAAAGGTTCTCTTACCTGTTGCAATTTTTGGTATCTCTAATCCTCTATTTTAAGTCCTACGAGGAGTGTTGTGTTTGCTTGCAGAAAATACAACAACAATAACAGATCATCTGAACACATGAACCATGACCTCAACATATGGAGCCTTGGTTCTCGGGGGAAACAACGGTGGATGATTTGGGGTATTTGGTGTTTGATAACAGCAGGAGGGTTGTTCCCACAGAGGAGGTTAATCACCAATAACCATTTAGAACTGTTTCCTGATGAATTGGTCCACATTCAGATCTTTGACTTTTTTATGCTGTTGCATGCTCTGTTGTTTCTTATGAACTGGTGTTTTAGTTAATGTCATCCGGTTATGATTACTGGCAGAACTACAGTCTAGTAGTTTTTTATTTTATTTGCATTTAACTGAATTACTCACCTGTAACATCATCAAGATAAATGTAGTTATCAGTGATACTTAAGGATAATCTGTAAAAGTCCAAATCCAGCTGCCCGCAGCATTAGCCAGTCAAGACAGATGCGACAAAACACTGGGACTGTCCTGCCGAGTCCAAACCGTTGTGCTTTTATGGTGCCTTCAAATACATTTCGTACGCTGGCTTGTCCAAAAATCAAAACAACACCAAGTGGTTTTAATCTTTTTTATCCAGAAATGTCTGAGCAATCTTTTTTAAAAGTATCTTAAAACAATATTTTCAGTTTTATTCTTGTATAATCCATCCCGCAGTCCGTCATCGGCTATATCAGCTTAAAGAAATCGAACCAAATAAAAAGTATGTATTGTGCGTGTTATGAATAAAAGGTGAGAGTTATGTAACGCAGTGTGCGACATTAACTGTGCTGACGGCATCCTGAGAGAATTAGATGGTTTATCTGACGTGGACCAATCAGATTTCAGATTCCCATCCTGATTAAGCCAGATGATTGGAGGATGTGACTGTGCATTAGGCCAATCAATAGATTAGTGAATAATTCTGCAGAGGACATTACATAATTAGCTGCAGTTTGACCCTTCTTGTTTAACCTTCATCCTTAAGCTGAAGGTTAAACTAAAGAGTATGAAAATATTTCCATTAATCTCTTGCAATGTATTTGTAATTACTAGGGTTTTTTTTACAATTTACAGAATAAGTCACGTGACCATTTAAATAAAATTTTCCGTTAATGTCAAAGGTGATATTAATTTTATCTGGACCTGATGGAGATGTTACAGATTTTGTCTTAGTTAGCGTTTTGAGCCCACGTGTTGTACCCTATCCACATCTCTCACTGCAGGGGAAGGAAGCGTGGTGCAGGCAGGTGTGGTGTTGCTGCAGGACGTTTTCGCCGTGAAGGTGAAGAGGAGGCGAATGGCGGGCCAGCAGTCGGGGGGAGCCGTGCTCGGCCTTGCTCTCTTCCACAGCAGGAGGAGGGGACGGAGGCTGGAGGAGGACACACTGCACCTCCACAACGCCTCCGCAGAACACACACACTCCTGGTATAACACTCTGAAAGAACTGCTCACAGGTAAAAGTTTTGGTCATTTTTATAAATAAAACCAAACTGTGTGCATCAAAGCGTGGTATCACTCTGATAGACAGTCCAAGCTAAGAGTCGGCTTGCTTGTCTTACATAAGATGGAGCAATGGAAACATGACTCAGTTCATCTGTGATTGCCACATTGTAAGATGATTATGTAAATACTCCTGAGTCATGCAGTTGGGAAGAAGACAATCATATTAGACAGTAATGTATCAATAAATAGACTTTGTTTACGCTTATTTAGCCTTTATTTAAACTTTAAAAGAAAACAAATGATTCAGTTCCTTTCTTAAATAGGAAAATAAACATTTTATTGCCTTAAATGCAATAACATAGCATCCCTTTAGTGTTTGATCATTTGTCGATAAATTGACTAATGTTTGCATTAACTATTAATTGGATAGTAAAAGTTACTTAATAGAAAATTTTGTTGTTGTTTTTTTTTTTACAAAATTTGAACCAGGTGAAGCTAAAACTGTCATTGGAGGAGTTCTAGGTAGAACATATTTACCTTAAATATATTTATTATAAATGCAAAATGTAAATATTTGTAGAGTTTTGACTTCAATCACTACTCCGATTATGTTGTTTTTACACAAAATCATATATATTTTTTGCACACACCAGTTAACAAATAATCTATCATTAAGTTAGGTGACAATTATTTCAATAATTGATGAATTATGATTAACTGTTTCACCCCCATTTGCATCTGTATCTGCACTAAGATCAATAATAAAATAAACCAATGACTGAGCACAATTTCAGTTTTTGGCCATATTAGCTGTGTTTTTTGTTGCAGTCATTTCCATCCAGAGTGTTCACATTCGTCTTAGTGAGGTGAGTCAGAGTTACATGAGACAGGAGAGCTAATCTCATAATCCAGATGAACAAAGACACATAGATTACACACATACACATTCAGCAGTAGTAACGATCAGGCTGTCAGGCTGCTTGTTTTCTTTTATTGTCTGCAGAAGAGATTAGTTTAAAAAACTGGCCTACTTGTCAGGTTGCAGTACATAAGATAAAAACTTTTTTCTTGGTGACTGAATGTCTGGCACTGAATATCGCCTCTCCCCTTAAACTATCAATGTCTCAGTGAGTTCATGATGAACTGATTGGGTAAAAAAAATTAGACGGTGCTTGTAATTAATAGCAATCTTGTAACTAATCATTGCCCAGGCTTTTAACTTGTTGAAATCTTTTCTCAGAATGAAAATGATTTGATTTCATCTTCCTCTAGTACAATAGTCTCATTTTCATTCTTTGTTGAACATCATTACCATTTTTGGCATAATTATTATTATTTTAATTGTCTTTTTGTTCAATTTCAGACCATAGATGAAATATTAACACTGTCGCTTTGGTCACTGAAATCAACACTACTTTGGTTAGATGAGACAAAACAAAACTACATGCAGAAAGATAACACTGCACATCTCTCCTCTGTAAAATTTAGTTTTACAGAGGAGCATCATGATGGGGGATGCTGTTCTTCGGCAGATCAAGAAATCCTGTATCTAGATGAGCAAAGCAATTTGCAAAGCATATATCTCCAGATGTAGATATATGTATCTACATGTAACTGCATCTACATATCTGATACATATCTGCTTCTAGCTGAACACTAGAAGCAGATGGATTTGAACTTTAACCTTTTCTCTGCGCCTTACTTTTTATTTGATGTTGTTTCAGTTGAGTAATTTAGCTCCGTACCTCATGGGTATTAAAAACTGTGGCATAAAGCTTTGGTGTTGTGCACTTTTAATGTAATGTTTCTAAAAAGCAGACGTTAGTAACAGAGAGGAGTTCTCCGTTTTGTTTATGCAGAGGAATGTAGAAATTACACTTTAGATTTGCGCCAAAACTTTCTGCATGCGGTCTAATTTAAAAGTCTGCATTAGTTTTGGTGTGAGTGCCGACTGAAAGGCCTGTACAGAACATTTTCCATTACACCCCTACTTAAGAGTGTACCAGCTAATCTATTAGTAAATCAGGCAGCTTCTTCAGCAGTAGCCATCTGCTTGTCAGGAGCTTTTTCAGTGAAGTCCTGGATGCTACTGCACTCTGAGTTTCCCATGCGCTGATTTCCCAGGTGCACTGTAGTGGGCAGTGCCTGGCTGACTGTTAACTCACAATAGAAATGTTGAAGTGCTGTGTGTATGGATTTAAGTCGCATGAACATGCTTTACATTGCAGCTTTTTTCTGCCTCCGCGTCTACGCTGAACCCAACAGAGACATTACAAGCAATCATTAAATGAGGAGGTCAAAGTTGACACTCGGGCTACCATCGCTCTCCCACCATGGCATCAGCCTGACACGTTATCGCTGGTCACCTGTCTGACTGTGCGTCTGTCTGTCCATCAAACCAGATTACCCCTGAGGCCCCTGCAGCAAAGTCACAACTTCTTCAAGGCTGCGTTATGGGCCTCATACTTACGCGCATGAATGGCTCGCAGGTCGAGTGTCAGCTCGAGTGGTCACACTGCAGATCAAACTGTGACGGCCTTTGTGACTTTAAACACCGCAGTGTAGGAGTCTATTTCTGCATGTGTGTGTGGATGTGAAAGGTAAACACAGTCAGTCGCTCTGCTGCTCTGCGGACATTAAGCCTATTTTCCAGCCAGAGGTCAGTATGAAAAGCCTATTGTTGCATGAATCTTGGTGTCGCAGAGTGGGCAGTCTCGCCGCCGCAAACACCGTCGCCACTTCTTAACCTCTAGGTCCGAACATTAAGTTGCACAATGGTGAGCAGAGAGCACCTTGTTTCTTGTTTCCAGAGCGTTATTCTGTCCCGTTTGCTGCGTGAGGCAGCTGCAGAATGCTGTGCAGAAACTGAATGGCAGTCAGGGCTACAAAAGGTAAGTATTTATGCTGTATAGAGACTGTTTCAATACGTGCAGTCAGAAGACGGAATAATTGACTGCACTTGTTTAACAGCTGAAGAGACTTACAGTCCAGTGTTACTGGCAAAAGTCCCAGCAGTGATAATGTGTGGAGAAATATATTGTAACACTATGTTAGCTATGTTATGCACTAAGCAATTTTTTACTGACTTTTTCTATTTTTCTGTTATCACTTTAATGCTCTTCACATTATAATCCAGTATGCAGTTTTTCTCTAAATCTGAAAGTGCTTGTCATCTTTTATCATTGCTGATCTTTAGCTTTGATTTTATTTGGATTTTTTGCTCCGCCGTGCAACTTTAAGAAGCGGCTTCAGAACTAAGAAGGGAAGGTCTCACAGCTGTCAGTAATTTCTGCTATTTTACTCAACTTTCAAAATCTTATAGTTTATTGAACTAAATTGCTCAAAGGGCAAATGTAGCATTAGATGTATAAGTACATTGTGAAAGTGTATAGGGGAGGGTTTTGTTGTTGTTTTATGACTGTGTTAATTACTAAAGCTCCAGTCATCTGCAATGAATACTGGCCACTTTTTAAAATACCAGAAATCTGTTTTTATTCATTGATGGACAAAGAATGCATTAAATAAAGTAATTTCATAGTAGTTTTTCTTTTCTTTTTTTTTTCTTAATGGGGTTCTGAGGTAACAGAAAGCCCGTTAGGGGGGTTCAGGTTGGTACAATTTATCACTGATCATTTCCTTAAAATGTTTTTATCAGAACTTAAATCCACATTTAGTATCTTTTTATCTTCCAAATGTTAAAATTTCCTGTTTTCCCACTTTAAATTCACTGCTTCACTATTTAAATGATTTCAGAACATATTTGGAATGGATAAGTCCATATTAGGTTATTCGTTTATTACAAGGTGTGCATTTTCGGGTGATGTTGTAAATTTGTGTTCTTTCACGACTTGAACTACTTCAAGTGCCTGTATTTTTGGCGCCCCCTCTGGCAAGTTGGAAATTTCAGGAGGTTTTTATTAGATTTTCATAAACTCATATGACTGACGATCCAATTGAAATTGGGATATATTATTTTTTCTCAAAAAGTTTGACTTTCTTGAAGGTTCGTCCGTTTCATGGTTGATGAATGAGTCTAAAAATACATCCCTTTCTTGTATCATGACCAATTAACCCAATATTTATTTTTCAAGTTTCAATTAACAGCATATATAAGCAACATATATTGATGATTGTATTTTTTGTGTTTTGTCTTTTTTCCAAATAAGAAATCAGTCTAAGCATGTCTGTCTATCAAAATCACTTTATGGCCCTTTACAGCGAGCTCTGCGTTACACATTAACTGGTTTGCAAGTCAATCCCTGTGTATCTATAGTGACAGGATGTTTACTTCCTCCCTCCCCTACTTATTTTACTTTGCTCTCTCTTTATTGGTTTGTCAGGAAAAAATCTTTGTTTTACTGCAACTTGAAAGGAGAGAAGAGAAATCTGAAGGTGAAACTTTGATAGCGCCGGCAAATCAGAGTGGAAAATATTAAAGAGATGCTTGAATGTGTTTTTCTCCAGGGCAAAGCCCTGTGTACGCACATGTCAGGATGCCAGAATCAAGATTCACTTATTCATCCACGGTATTGCGACTACAGCTCAAGCAAATACTTGTGGAACTGTTTCCATCCAGTCTCGTAGAAAGTTTACATTGTGTTAGTCGATGCATCAAAATGTGTAATGATAAGTATGACAAAATTCCCAAAGATTGATGATGCAATAATCAAAGTCATTTTGGACATTTCAAAAATTGTTGCTTTGAGGTTGTGATTATATTCATGATATTTTAAATTACAACCACACATTTACATGCAGTTACAATTTCATGTAAATGACCAACTCACAGTAACACACAACTGTGAAAAAAATCAGAAATACGTGATGTCCATTTGAATTCTACCTACTTTAATCTGTACTACTAAATAAAATGTAGTTCAAGTTTCTGTATAAGTCACCTGACTGGTAAATAGAGTCTAAATAGTGGAAATACATTTGTTCTTTGGAGGCCACTCAGGTTTACTGGAGAAAATTAGTTAACAGACATCATGAAGACTTAGGAAGACCTCAGACAGCTAAGAGATAAACCGAGAAGTTTAAGGCAGGTTTAGATTGCAAAACAATATCCCAGACTTTCAACATTTCTCAGATGTTAGTTAATCTGTCCATCTGAAAATAGAAATAATATGGAACAACTCCAAAGATATGACCAAGAGGCCTACAAGAGGCAACAAGTAATGAAGGGACGTCTTAAATGTGTGAGATGTTCTGGTGAGATGAGGTTGAAATGGACATTTTTTGGCAGAAACGTAAAACTTTGTGTTGCAGAAAGCGAACACGGGAAATACATTTCCTGCTGTGCAAGAAAATGTTTTCTTCTTTCATGAGAAAAAAAATAAGCTAGTCACAGTGGATGGGAGCATTTAAGGCTCTAAATATATTTCAAACCCGGTAAAAACATTTTTCAAGAGTTATGAATTGCAACAGGCTTCTGCAAATACATACTGAACTATATACTGAACATCAAAATACAGTATTTACTAAACATTTTGGTGCTCATAAAGCACCAAAATGTTTACTGAAACTCTATAATTAATAAAGTTAAGCACTATTAATTTAATCTTGGTATCCGAGGTGTGTTTTGAGTTCATGCCTTGATTTGTGACCTCAGGTGGAGCCTCTGTTTTTGTCAACAGCATTCAGCATGTTGAGCTTTAAGTCCTGGGTCGGAAACTCAACACTGATCCTTGACAACACAGAGATTGTTTACCATGGCAATGGTTCAGAAAACCAAAGCAACATGCTACTGACTAAGCTCATCCAGTATTACTGTTTTTGTCTGTGGCTCCTGAATAATGGAGACCTAACAGATATACTTCATCATTTCCTTTTAATGAAAAAAAAATCTCAATAAAAATAAAATACATACTTAAACCTGTCAGTCAGTTTAAATGTTTCTAGTGAGAACATACATTGACACCAGATTTCAGCAACAAGCTAAGTAATCCACACATACAAAGAAATGAAGGAGAATTTGTCCACAAAATTAAATTATGGGTCAAAAATTTGAATGTAATGAAGGTTTTCAGGAATACGACTTTAGACAGCTGTTGTTCTTTTTCCTATGAAAAGAAGTAACTCACACAAGAATGGCCTCTTTGAAAGCTCGCTGCATAAAACTCCACTGCTGAAGAAAAAGCATTGTTTAAATCTTGCCGCAGAACATCTGTACAATTCAGTGAAACGCTGTCAAATCAAAAGATCCCAACGCTGAACTCTTTTGAATTAACATCACACACATTGTTTTGACGAACCCCAAAAACACAACGCCAAAGTACGGCATACATCGTACCGACAGGCCTCAGTTAACCGAAGGAAGAACGAATGGAGGAATGTACCAAGACATTCTTAATAACAATTGGAAGATGAAACAAGCTGGAATTTCCAAGTCACAAACACAAAGCCAAGGAAATTGTTAATTTGTTCCAGACGAGGGAAGTAATACTGCTAATCACTTGAAAGTTTTCCAGCAGAAAAGCTATGAAAATAAATCAGAGTTCATACATTAACCTTTAAGTTTAAAAAACAATTAGTGTTAACTGAATGGGCCATAATCATTTCTGAGTGATTCGTGCGATTTCCCTCCTCCTGCTAGAAATGGCTGGAAGTTGTCATTCCCAGAAAAGGTTTTTCCACAGTTTCTGCAAATATATCATACATTCCTAATTTATTTGATATTTTTTGGCTGTGTGGATAATTTTGGCTTGTTACTGACATCTGGTGTGAATTTTATCTCGTCCCTATTGAAAGATTTAAGCTGGAGAAAGCCGTGACACATCTAACACTTTTTTTCCCCCGCAAATAATATGGTGGCTAACCCGTATAAATAGAGATACAATAAAAAATGTAATAAGTTTTGGACAGGATGTATAAAAACAGTAGGCGTGGCTTCTTACACCGTTGGGGCTCCGATGTGATGAAGGTGTCAGGTGGCTCCTCATAAGATCTCCGGAGAACCTGGATAGAACTATGGAGTGATGGTAGGAGGTGCACTTTGTGTGTGCAAGTGGGGTCATTAACAGGGCGAGGTCACGGCCTGTTGGGAGCAGATTATAGTCATGAGCTGGATAATGGAGCTGCTGTGTGCGTATTGATCTAAGTTAGTCTATGGGGATTCATAATGCGGTCTCTAAATCTGCCTAATGATGAGCTGTGTGGGGGGAGCCTCGGTGAATGTGTGTATTTTGGAGACAGTCCTGTAAAACTACACACACGCAGACTTTAGACTCAAGAAATGGGAGCTGTAGTCTAAGCTGTAAGAGTTTCTATGTGATTAACTTGTCATTAAAAAGTCGGCTAGTTCTTTCTGGGTTGTTAGAAACAAATTTGTTGTTTATAACCAAAAGACAAATTCACAAAAAATGTCCTTTTTACCAATGTTTTGCTCTATCTCTGCACTCGATTCATTAAATCTGTTTAAGAATGACCATCAAGCCCAGCACATTGGAACATTTTTTAATCTCTAGTTAATATTTTAGATTGCTCAAGACATGGGAATGATAAATCCCCTTAACTGATTCATTCGGAGATAACAAGTGTTGTCATGTTAAAATAACCGTACGGCTTTTGTACAATCATACTAAGAACTTGCAATTATATCAAAATAAAGTGAATCCTGTTGATTTCACCAAATTAATGAAAGAGTTTGCTTTGGTTGCTCAGGGTTTTTTCAGCAAGTCCTCCTCACACCCACTCTAAAAATGATAAATTATTTGATTAGAGAAATTATTTTGAAAAATATGAAGCACGCTTTAACAATTGAGTATAAATTTATGACATTCCTCACCTGTTTTTTTTTGTTTTGTTGTTGTTGTAAACCAATAGAGCAGCTTTTTAACCTGCTTTCAACAGGCTGTTTATTTTCCACATGATCTGCATAAAGAAAGCAGCTTTGGTCCTTGACAATTTGAAGCTATTCACCCTGATTGTAACTTACATAAACGTACATAAATATGAGAGGACGCTGTTAACTCTGCAGTATTTTGCTGTAAACCGGATCCGCCAGAGTTTCCTCAAACACCTCACAGGCGGCAGTGATGGAGGGTCTCATGGCGGGTGTATTCATGTTTGTGTGCAGGCTTCAGCAGCCGGCCCAGGTATGTGAAGGTGTTTATCAACCCGAGCAGCCACAAGAAGGAGGCCGTTCACATCTACAGAGACCATGTGGCTCCTCTTTTCAAGATGGCGGACATCCGCACTGACATCACAGGTTGGCTCTTCCCGCTGGTTATCTCTTTCTAATACACTTAAGGACATTCAAGTTTAGTAATTTATTTTATTGTGATAAGAATCGGTTCAACTGTTACACAAATTTGTCCAGTATTGGAATAAAACAACAACAATAACAATTACAAAAATGATTTGAAATCTTTGTGTGTGCGCTTCAGTGTCCAGGTCCAAAGGTCAGAGCTAATGGCAGTTTCTGGTCGCTAGGAAACCTGATCCTGGAGGCGGAGCTAAGTCCATCTGTTATGACAGAGGGACACAACTTCCTCTCATCTCCTTTCCCTGTTTTTTTTTGCCCTATTCTCATTTTCTTTTCCTCTATCATCTCTACGATTCCTCCTCTCCTGCTTTCATCTCCCTCTTCTCTTTTCTCACAGCTACTCCTCTTCTCTTTCTTTCCCTTCTCTCAGCAGATGGCACGATATCCGTTGTCCCACTTTTTCTTTTGGCAGCTATCAAGCACACACAACCATGTACATCTGACCACACACATGCATGAACACTTTATCTTTGTCCATCTCGGTGTCTCTCCATCTGCTCACCTCTCCTTTTCCTCCCTCTGTCTGTCCCTACGTGTCTTTCTTTCTGTCTGTCTCTGCAGTAACTGATAGGAAAGGTCATGCTCTCTCAGTGATGAAGGAATGCAAACTGGATGAATACGATGGGTCAGTTGTTTCTCTTTCGTTTCTCATATCTCCTAATTTTTATGAAATAAAAACATGTTTTGGAATTTAAGTTTTCTTTTTCATTCAAAATCTTGCTTGTTCATCCACAATTTTGTGTGAAAGACTATGTAAAACATTTTGGTAACTATCAAACCCCTTCTTTTTTCATGCCATGGGTATTTATTGGTACCAGCTACATGAAAAGGAGGCAGTTTAACCCAACTCTGGGTCAAATATGGATTGAACGACGTTACCATTCATTTCCATCCCCAAAATTAGGTTGCAGTTGTTAATGTCTAACATTAAAACTGAGAAAGAGCGAGTTGAAAACTCACAACTCACTTGCATTGGAGCTGAGTTGAAACTTACATTTATTTGCCTGATTTCAAAATAAAAGAGTATTTGGTTTGACGGGTTGAAATTTTCATGTTTTTTTTTTTTTTTATGTTTTGTACGTTGTGCTACGAGAAACCAATGATTAAATAAAGAACATCACTGTTCAGCTCTGAAATATTTTAGTTATTTTTAAGCTAATTTGGTTAACAAAATTTATACTCAATGTATGCATAACAGGATGTAAAATATAGTGTGTTTTTATTGCTTGTTTGGTTAAAAAATCAAAGTGTGAATATTGGCCACAGATAACTCTATACTAGCTACAATTAAGCCCAACATTTTTCAAACTCCTGGCGACTATTCTTATTTAACAAGGATGTTTTATTTTGTTTTTTTTAGGAATTGACCCAGACATTTAAAAAATATAAGTCATAACACAGTGTAAAAAGTTTATAAACTAAAAGATAAAAAAATATTTGTTTTTGTTATCATTTCACAAAAAATTGCATCGTATTAATTATCCTTGTCATTAATTCGCGTATAAATATTTTGACATTCCTTCTTGTAGCTGCTGAGCAGCTTTTTGCATGTTTTTCTGCTCAAAGACTTTCTTTGAGGTTAAAAGTCTTTCTTGCCATTTCCCACTTCTTTTTTTTTTTCCCCTTCACAAGTTCATATGGGGCACTCTGACCGAGTCACTCCAAAACGTGTCTAGTTAAAACTCCTGGGTTATTTCCAGACATAACCCAGGAGTTATTGTGTGTGGAATTTACCAAGTAATTACAGGTGACGTTGCAATTTTAAAAGTTTAAGTTTGATGTAGTTTTTTGACCTTGTGAAAGCCATCTGACGTGTCAAATCGGTTGAAGATGCGGCTTCGACGGAGCTGGTTGACGTGTATGAGTTTGTGACGCACTGAAGTGAACCGCGTAATCAAACAGAGGTTTACTGTCGGAGGCTGACACTAAAACACACTGACCCAGACTGATTTCTGTCTCTCACACACACAAACACACAGGTTACATGAATCACATTGACCTTGTTCCACTGCCTGTCCTGGAGGAAGCTTTAAGAACTGCCTTACACCGTATCAAAACCTTGTGTTCTTGAAGAATATAAAACTTTTATGAAGCTCTCATCACTCTACCTGTGGTTGTGTGTGTTTCTGTATGTGTGTGTGTGTGTATGTCTGTATGTGTGTGTAAGCAGCTTTTGTGCTCAGCACTCATAAAGCTTAATGTGCTTAGAGAAGATTAGCTCAGCGTTGCTAAGCTAGCAATGCTGTGTTTGTGTGCATGCGTGTGCATGCGTGTGCATGTGTGTGTGTGTGTGTGTGTGTGAGGCTGCACTGGTGAGGATTTGGTTGAAACCTACATTTGCCAATTAGGCTGACTGTCACCGTGGCGACCAGAGTTTCAGGTAATCCCATCCCCAGGAAGAGGGGGAAGGAGGCGGAGCCAGTTTATCTCCTATTTACTGCAAACACGAGTCATGAAGATGGAGCATCTCACTGCATAGTGCTACTAAAGTTAGCTCTTCTCCAGTTTCACACATCTTTTATATTAAATTTGTCATTTTATGTTGATAAGAGACGAATATAAACCAACGAAGGGGCCTTGATCACAGTGTTGAATCATTCATGTTTGTACAAAATGCAAGAAGTAAAAAAGTTGACAGCTATTAACTGAATTAATAAGGCTTTATTTAAAACCCTTTCTAGGTGTTATTAGAGAGTTGCAACTTTTCAGGATTTTTATTGGAGTTTCAGGAAGTTTTAAGGGTTTACAAAATGCCTTCACCTTCACAATAAGAGAGCTTAGAGTTATTTCTTGCTTCTCTATATAACTCTTCCACCTGTCCTGATGGAGATGTGTCTTCACCTGTCCGTCAGGGTGGTGTGTGTCGGTGGGGACGGATCAGTGGCGGAGCTGTGCCACGCTTTGGTTCTCCGAGCCCAGCTCGATGCAGATTCTCCAGAAAACCCAGTGAGAGCAGCTCTGCCGCTGGGAATCATTCCTGCCGGTAAGACCTTTTCATGCAGCAGAAACACAGCCGGACATGCGGGAAGCTTTAGGAGTTTTCATTTTTGCCTCAACAGGTTCTACAGATGTGGTTTCCTGTTCAGTCCATGGAGTCAGAGATCCACTCACAGCAGCTCTCCACGTTGTTTTAGGTACGGCCCTTTTCTTTCTAACTCAGCCTTGGTCAGACATTATAGGTGGAGGGTCAGTGGATTATTTTTTACAGCTCTTGCACACAATTTGATGTGAGCTTTAATAGAAAAGATCCCATAAAAATGTGTCTGAAAGGGAGAATGTCGTTTACACCAGTGCCATATATTCACCATAAATATTGACTTGTGTTTCCTGACTTCATTTAACTTTGTTGTCAGGAAGTTTGCTTGCTTTCTCTCCATTCTGCATCACCAGTTTGAACATCTGTGTTAAATACACTCTATCTACTTACATCTATATCCCTCAGGTCATTCGGATTGGTTTCCGCCCGCAGTAAATCTATTGTTAAATTCAATTTATTCAAAACGTCGAGGTGAAAACCAATCAGGAGCTCTTATGCTTTCTGAGCTTCGATGTGATTGGCTGTCGTTCTATTTGAGTGGCGAAGGGACCAGCGTTTCAAAAAAAACAACAAACACGCAGACAGATGGTGGTACTGGACTCTGGAGGGAGGAAGCCGACAGATGTCCGACTGTCGGATCAGTTTCACTAAATCACAGGTTTTCCCTGCTGCTTGTGGTCCCGCCCCCCCGCTGACCTCTCCTCACCTCTCTCCATTTCCTCTCAGGTAAACCTGTCGGCCAATCGGTTTGAAGCAAGGCATGTTGTTGTTTTTGTTTGACGGCTTCTGGTGAGATGGTTCATCATGCATAATTAATACTAGTAGCTGGTATGTGTGTGTGTGTGTGTGTGTGTGTGTGTGTGTGTGTGTTGTGTGTGTGTGTGTGTGTGTGTGTGTGTGGGTGTTTGTGTGTGTGTGCGTGTGGGTGTGTGCGTGTGTGTGAGGGAGAGAGATAAAAAAAGAAAGAAATTGGGAGTATTAAGTAACACTAATAGGAGTAAAATCTGAAGAACAGAGAGCAGTCAAAGTCAAGCAGAATGATTTTCCCACAAAGACGAACTGAATCAGGCTTTTATTACCACAAATCTGATCTAAATTTACTCATAATTTGCTGATACATCACCCTCTCATTCACAGTTTTTTTTAATTAATCTGTAAAACATTTTGTTAAGCAAAAATGTTCTTTTCCACATTTTGTAAGCCACAATCTTCAACGTATTTTATTCTAATTTTTTATGACATTAAATATTGTATTATTGTTAAAGTTAAAGGAGATTATTATGGAGAAATGTAAAAAAGCAAAACAAAAAAAGCGTCTCACACGTACAGATATAATTGCACATTGAGTTCTTCTACACGGGACTGTCTGTTGTACAGTTATGCAGTCTTATTGTTGTCATTTTTAAACATTGTCAGACTACCACATGTCCTGGACCCCATGTTGGACTGGGGATTCACAGTGTTGCCTCAAAGTCGCAACACGGTTCCTGGCTGAAGACTTACCGTGTCAAGTTTCTACCTTCCTTTACACTTAAAAACCTTCACTTCTCTCACTTAAATTACTCTTATTTCTGGGTGTGTGTCTGTGTGCATTGTTGCTAGCCTTGAATGTGCTTTGGTAAGCCGCAGTGATGACGTGGCAGCCAATGCAGTTTGTCTGGCCTTTCACTGGAGATTCGCACCATGCCCCCTGTGACCCGAAATGAAACGAAGCAGCTTTGGAAAATGAATAGATTCATGTCAAGCCTATTTTTCCTGGACATTTGAAAGTCTTAGAAACTCATAAAGATACAGCATTTGTATCCCATCCTCATTAATGTTAATCTAATGTGATCGCTTCTGCTCATAAAAATGTATAATGCAGGCCTAAATATTATGAGGAGGGATGGAAATGTTTAAGGTTAAGAAAAAGGACATTCCAGATAATTATTTTTTTTCTCCGTTGTTTACGTTGCTTATAAATATTACACGAGCCTTTAAAATGAGCTGTTGGTTTGATCTCGGTGACACACTGACCGTGTCAGCTTTAATCCCACTCAACACACGGAGCTCCACTAACACACTGACAACAAGCCATATGGCGAGGAAATCAGATTCAGCCAGAGAGACAGACAGGCAGCCGGTCGAACAGACAGACAGGTGAGTAGACTGCAGTTCAGTAGGTTACGGCAGGTATGTGGCCAGATGGCACGCTCCGTGTTTGTGTTTGGCACTGAGTGTGTGTGACAAATTGTGTACACCCATCTGGAAGCTAATCGAGCATTTTCTCAAAAGGACGTGTTTATGAGTTCATATTAAATAGGATTCTTCTTACTCCATTTGCTTTATGGGTTTTTTTTCTTTTCTTTTCTTTTTTTGCGTCCTGAGGAAATCTTGAGCGATGTTCTGTGCTAAAGCATTCTATGTGGGTCACTCCACGCATGAAACCGTTCCAGGAACGAAGTCAGACCAGAAGGCGCACTTGTTTGAGGTCAATATTAGTCGCCATTGTTTCCTTGCAGCTATATTTAAACATGGCTCCTGCTATTGTAGTTCTTCTTGCTGTGAACTGGTGGCAGCGTCAAAGGTGGTGCAAGTCAAATTTTAATAATTTCTGGGACAACATTAAACAATAAATATAACATTATTTTTGTAAGACAATTCAGATGACAAATCACATTTTAAAATCTGATAAAGGTTTGTTGTGTGTTTATAAACAAAATCAGTTGCAACCAATGACCTTCAAATGCCATTTAATTATTTATTTAATGATTACAGATTCCAGCTGTGTGGGATTTAATCTCAATATTAATCCCGCTGCTCTGTGAAGGCCTCAGAGGTTTAGTAGAGATCATTACAATAAACTTATTAATAGATTGTTAATCAGCCAAACTCAGCCAATAGGTCCATGCTGGAAGGACTGGAGAGAGCCATCGCCACAGGGAAGCATGGTGGAGGCAGCATAGTGCTGTGTAGATTCCTTTCAGAAACAAAAGAACTGATGAGAGCAGAATGGATGGAGCTACACAGATGACAACTTTGGGGAAAAAAAAAACCCTGCAGCAGGTTCACCTTTCAGCAGGATAGCAATCCAACACAGCTGCTGTGGAACGTCGAAGTACGTTCATGTGATCGACCAGAATTCAATCGAAAATCTGACTGAATTTTCCACTAACAAAAATGGCCAACAACTTGAGTATATGCATGTCTGAAACTGATGGATACTTACCCCTGAAAACTTGTTGCTTCAATTTTCTTTCCTATTTTGTGTCTCACAGAATGTCCACAATGAAAAGAACTTAATTCTGTGGTTATAATCTGACAGACGTTCAGCTGGTGTGTTTACTTTTGCAAGGTCCTTTTCTGTTCAATTTCTCCACGTGAAAATTCGCAACTATATTCTGCTGATTATTTATAAGTGTCAAGCATTGGTCCTCCTTTTTAGGTCAAAGGCTTTGCTTTGTGCTCATCAAATGCTGTTAGAATACACTGAAAAGAAAGGCAACAAAATGACGGATCGGCGATTTCTTGGAAATGTTACCCGTCTGAGTGTCTCTCCTGTCTGTGTGCAGGTCATGTGCAGCAGGTGGACATGTGCAGCTTCTTGTCCAACGGTCAGCTGGTGCGTTTTGGATTCTCTTCCATGTTTGGTTTTGGCGGCCGGAGCTTAGCGAGGGCAGAAAAGAAGAGGTGGATGTCATCGTCGCGGCGACGAGAATATGCGGTGGTGAAGACCTTGGCCAGGCTTAGGTGACGCATTTTCTTTTCTTTCAGCCTTTTGAATGTTTTGCTTCATTAGAGGAAAGGATGACAGTATGATATGGTTCTGTTTCACATCATAAATGAATAAAATGAAGTTAACTTTTGTGATGGCAAGCTGGACATAAAGTGTTTCTGTTTCTGTTTCTGTCTCCATCAGGCCAGAGGACTGCCAGCTGTCATTTTTACCTGCAAAAGGCTCAGAAAGCAGTTTTTTTGGACAACAGTAGGAAACATTCATCGATTTCCTTAATGGCCTTGTGGGAAATAGAGAATAGAGAAATGCTAAAACATTAACATTCCTGGACTAAATCATTTGTAGACGCTTTTCATCGTTGTCACTGATCATTCTAATGTTTAGTGTAGAATAAAAGCTCAAATTTGGACAAGTGAAGAGCAGCTGTGAGAGGTCTGTCAGTCAACTGCTCACTTATGAATTTTGAGTTTTGCGCAGCATTTTTTTCAGACCACTTTCTTATTGAAATCACACAATCTGTATGAAATATCCCCAAACATTTGAAGTGAGAAAATGTTTAAAAGAAATTAACAAATTTCAGTCTGTCATTTATTTATTTAATGCTGTTTATTATGTTATTATTATTATTATAACTATTATTATATGTAATTTCTTTATTTCTATCAGCTGTAGTTTGCATTTTGTGGCACTTTTAGTTTTTCAATAATAAAGGGAAAGTGTCACCACTAGAGGGCGACGTTCTACATTTCTGATGTGACGTGTCTTACATAGGGCCCTTTCTTTTCTTGGTATATTTATAAATGTCTGTGAACACACCTTTTTGTTAAATACACCTTCCCTCGTTCATTTTCTAGAGACCAGGGCGAAGAACTGGACACAGAGTCAGGTGAGAATAGCAATTTGCAAATGTGAACTAAGAGCTGAGCGGGTTTTATTTCCTACCTCAGCTCACAAACCCTGCTTTACTTTGGCTCTCTCTGATTGGTCTGTATTGAAGCAGAGGAGTCTTGGGTGACCAATCAGGGTTTGTACCTCAGCATCAGCATCATGTCTATCCCCTGTCTGAGCCCACATGCGCCTCAGGGATTGGCTCCAAACACCAGGTACACCTTAAACTCTCAGTTTTCTAATAACTAACCGTTTTTGCTTCTGATAACTCTCTCCAAACTTCCTATTTGTGATAGTTTGGACAATGGCAGCGCCTCACTGATCGCAGTAGGCAATGCTTCCAGGTCAGAGTTCATCAAGCACCTCAAGAGGTACAGCAGCTCTAGCGGACAGGTGAGAGGAACAATGAAGTAGCATCAACGATCAGAGCAATTTATACTAAGGATTAATTCTACATTGGTCCTGGGCATTGCTACATTATAATTTGAATGTGTCTTTTTAAAATACTGTTTTGAATCCTAGATTTAGGCTTTTAACTTCTGATGAAAAACTGTATCAGTTAGAAAGTCTTAATGCCGAATCTACATACTCAAAATCATGATACCATTTAAATGGTTTTTTTTATATTTAGATTTTGAGGTTAGAAACAAGCAAATAGTTGTCAATCACATTTCACACCATACCAACTCCATCACAAATCAGAAACAGCAGAAATACTAAACATATTAACCACTATTATTGAACTTAAGAACGTGATGCTCTAATGTCATAGTAATATCACTATAATAATGTTATTTTGATCTCATAGCACATTGTGCAGGTGCTTCGTCTGCACTGATGAAGATTTACTTTGCTCGGCTCACAGGATGCATGAAATCACTACATCCACAAGTCAAAAAAATCAAATTATTTCACTACCCAAGGACATTTAAAGATACAGTGGGAAAATGGCAACTTACTCTCCTGACACAGCAGCACATTGTCATTTACACAACCTTCATGCCAATACACATGTCCTCTCGTGTAAAATAAAATGGGTTGACGTCATAAGTTACTCACACATCCATTACATGACTCGATGTTTCACAAATACGGTTCAGTTTTTCACATTTGTACTCACTTACCTTACTTTGGAAGTCTAGAATCTGTGTGTTTAATTTATAAGAACCAGCAAACCCATGCTAATAATGTAGTTACTAAATAGCTGTGGAATCATTGACTCAGCCTGTGTGACAGGTAGGGACTGGTATTGATCACTAATAATGGTGAAATCATAATTTCTTTTTACGAATCCTCTATCGTTTATAATGATTTGTATTGCTAATATGCCTTCTGATATTTCTTTTTCTAAAATCAGACATCTGCATTTTGCCCATATTTTCTTTGTTTCGCAGCCTAATGATGAGAAGTGTTGTTGTTTAAACCAGCAGTAATGAACACCAACAGGACGTAGTCAGGACCACCCTTGATGGGATTTTCATCGGCTTGTGACCTTGTCTTCTTAAAGCTCCACCTCTTGCTGAGGAAAACAAAATAGTTATCATGCAGATTAGCCTGATTTAGCATGGCTTAAAAGACTAAACGTTAACCCACTTTCTAAATATACTGCCAGTGGGATGGTGACTGTCCAGCAAAGGGAAAAGAACATTGAACTGAGTGACCTACATTCGGTTAGCGACCATGTAAATAGCGAACACATCAAGCTCAGATCTGACCATCGAGACCCCGAAACTCAAAATCATCGTTCAGCTGTAAGAGGTCAAACGTTTTTATGCTTAAGCGGGACCTTCTCACTGTTGGGCTGTTTCCTCTTTAAGGTTCCCAGAGTTGTATAATAAATAAAAAAATGATATATACATTTATATCACTCAAGTGTGTGCATTTCAGAACAAACATTATTGTATTTTGTTCTCAATCTTTTCAGCAATGAAACAACATACCCAGCATCTAAAACTCATGTCTAAATTATGGACATAAACCATATACAGGCCACATTAAAAAAAAAAGATTTTGATGTGAATAATTGTAAATTATTTTAAAGCCATAGGCGTTCCACATAATTGAAAATTGTGACAATCAAAATGGAGCCATCTGTCTAGTTGAGAAACGAGCTGTTCTGTCATAGATGATCATTTTTTGATGTTAAATTGAATTTCAAGCGAAGGTGAAAAACAACAACAACAACAAATAAATAAATAAACAAAAAAAGTCAAAGAAGCGACTGGTTATTTGCAAATCAAAGACAAAGAGAGAAATCCTCCCAAGAAGCACATGGATTAACATATTGCTAGTCTCTGCTGCCCTCTATTGGCGCGTTGTGTTATATCACAAGAGAAGACAGTAAATAGGAAAGGAACCCGACGCACCAGAACAAGCCGCTTAACGCAGATTTACAAAGATCCACAGTCTTCTCCGGCTCAGCTGTGGCACACATAAGCCCACAGTGACGTTCTGATTGTCTGCAGTTCAGCTTCCCCTTCGTGGAGACGCACTCCGTGTCGGCGGTGAAGGTTCGACCCCGATCGCTGATTGGCTGGTCTGAGGAGGAGAGCGAAGACGAGGGAGACTCCAAAAATACACCCATCATCCAATCAGAGGGAGCCGCTCTGCCCTGGAACATCGACGGAGAGCTGGTGGAGATGGCGCATGAAGTGCTCATCAGGTGGGACCAGCTGAGTTTCAGGACTGGAACCCAAAGCACTGCTGAGTGCATGGATTTGTTTGAGAAACATTGTTATGTCAAAGCAAGGTCAGCTCACCCAAAACACCGCCGTTTTCTTTGTGGATGTCTAATAAGGTTCTTTAAATGCATCTGCTTCAAGCGCATAATTTTCACTGACACCTTAAAACAATCAGACAAACAATAAAGCTTTACGTAATTCTGAAAGTAAAGCAGCTAACTGTTGGCAACCTGGATAAAGATTTGCAGAAAGACACACACGTTTTTTTTATTTTTTATTGCAGAATCAACTTGGGCAACATTTATATAATTTTACTGTTTATTTCCTCACTGTTTGTATAATTTCTCCAGAAGGAGTCAGTTTGTGCCGACTCCTGTGTTTTTGTGCTGAGAAGACACAGTCAGACACACTGTGTCTTTTGGAGTTTGTGTTCATAGTCACTCTTTTCTAAAGTCTTTTGTCCTCAAGCACCCATATTAGTACTCTTCATCTGTTTAAGGTAAAATAAAAATGAAAGAAATCCTGTCATAAATATGAGCAGCTTTCCACTCAGTTATGCTCTCTGGTGCTTGCAGACACTATCTTGTGTTGTGGTTGCCACTAAATATACATTGTTCTTAACTGGAAACTGGGTTCTTTTAAGTGTTATTGTTGCTGTTATGTTATTTGTCACTGGGTTTCTCAGTTTTCTCTCTTTTTTCTCTTTCTGTAGAAGCAGACTCCTTGGGTGCATTATCTAGATCCTGTTCCTATCTTCCTCAACTCTCTTCCTTTCTTTTTTTTTCTCTTCTCCATTGATTTTTCATCTTGTCTATTTTGATTTAAATGACACCACAGTAGTTTCTAATAATGATTTTTTAAATATTATTATTATTTAGTAAAGAACAGAGAAAACTGTAATGCTCCATTTGTAAAAGTGCATTTGTTAGGTACTCAGCTACACACGATTAAACAAAATGAACTAAATAAATACATTGATTTTGAACAGCATTTAATAATGCAGTCATTTTACAAACTGAAAACATCTTTAAAAATCTACCTTCAGAATAAAAAATTAAGACTGAAGCCACGTAAAAGATTCTCGGTTTCTTTTTTTTCTGCAGAACGCATCGTAATCGCTGTGTTTGTGTTCAGGGTCCATCCGAGACTCATCACTCTGTATGGGGAGGAGGTTCACGAGGCGGAGTCAACCGTCACCTGCAGCTGCATCTGAGAGCGACAGGAAGAGCTGCACCACGTCTGTCACCACCGTGTCCTCTTGAAGAAGCCACAGACGCTCCCGAGATGTTTACTGCCAACGTCACATGAAGTGAAAACAATTGTCTGTCAGCTAACTGTCCAAGAGATTTACAGAAATAGACCCATATCATCACACATCCTCCACCGTACCTAACAGTGGGCATTTACAGCAGTTTATCCCTTAAGTTAATATGTGACTTATTATAAAAGTGGCTACTATCCATTCTTTTACATTCAAATTAATGTTTACAGGCCTCATTTGTGTTATCAACTCCATTCTGTGTTTGTGTTACTTTCTTTGCTTTGAAATTACTCACATTTTTACTGATCCAAAAGTTTTATAAGTGAATATTTCTCAAGACTTTTGTTTTTGTTTCCACGTTATTTTGTGGTTATCATAGAAAAAAACAACAACAAATGTTTAAATAATACAAAAAAATCTTTTATTTTAATAGGGGAGTATTGATAAAAGCAGTGAGACGCTCCAGTGCAGAACAAACTTTCATAAAAAATAAAATAAAAATGTCATTTCACATTCAAAGATGTGTATTTCTATGGCATGTAAAAGATGAGGGACAAAGTTGTTTCGACAGTTTGCATTCACAGAATACAGGAAGGTAAGACAATTATCTGACAACATTTTATTTTTCCAAAAGCCTCTTTCAAGTGAATGTCATTTATTTCTTTGGCGTAGTCGAGTGGAGTTTCATTTGAATCATTTTCATTTCATTTCAGCACATTGTAACTTGTAAAATACTATATAAATTAAGTTAAATTAATAATATATTTTGCCATATGCCTAGTTCATAATTGTTTCTAATAAAGGCTTCATAAGACATTGTGCCCCTGTGATCTCTTAGCACCATCTTTCAAAATACCTGCATCTGTTTCATTCTTGCTACCTGTGAGTTTATCCTCGCAGGTAGCAAAAGGCCCACAAGTATTTTCTTAAATGCTGATTTCCCCCCAACACATCTGAGAGACAGGACGCTTTATTTGGTTAGTTGCCGGCGCTGCCAAGACAACTTTTTTTCTTGGTGAACAATGAAAATATGTGGATTTACTTCATTTGTTATCTAGATGTGCCACAAAATTCTGCCAAAGGAAGACAAAAGTGACAAAAGGGAAAATTGAAAAATAAAAAAAGAAGAAGAAGCAGCATTGTATCCTATTTCCCAGCATTTTTTTGTATCTGTGTCCTGCTTTCAGAACACACAATTTGTATTGCTTCCCTTTTCCTGCACACTCCTGCAGCCCGCTGCAGTCCAGTGTCGACTGCAGCTGTTGGATGACGCAACGCAACCAGTGAGTCTCGTGCTCCGTTTCTGCTGATCAGCAGGTAAACAAAATTAAGGTATTTATTCCAAAGGTATGAACCAATCAGAAGCAAGGTTTCCAATCCCCTGAGATCATCAGAAAGTCACTTGGTTTGGTTCTTCTTCAGTGTCCGTTCACAACACAGGAAGCTCTTTTATCCATCCATCCATCCATCCATCCATCCATCCATCCATCCATCCATCCATCCATCCATCCATCCATCCATCCATCCATCCATCCATCCATCCATCCATCCATCCATCCATCCATCCATCCATCCATCCATCCATCCATCCATCCATCCATCCATCCATCCATCCATCCATCCATCCATCCATCCATCCATCCATCCATCCATCCATCCATCCATCCATCCATCCATCCATCCATCCATCCATCCATCCATCCATCCATCCATCCAGTGCTGTGGTCTTCTTCAAGGCCAGTCTCTCCTTTGTGAAGGCACATTTGGTTGATCAGTTCATCCGTCATTGCTGCAAAGTCTCTGCACAGCTTTGTTGTGAACTCTGCCCACTCCTGATGCCCCGACGTCACAGCGAGAGGCAGCAGATGAGTTTAAGTAGAGCTCTCCCTCTTGTTGAGTTTGGGAACATAGTCCCAGCTGTCTCTATTTAACTCCTCCTGCTTGTTGAAGTTCCTCTTGAAGAAGCCACACTGTAAATCAGACAATCAAACGGTCCCTATTAATTTTTACTTTGTTACGCAAAAATTCAAGAGATTTTGTACTAAAATAACAGTATTAAAAATCAATACTGGGTGTTTAAAATGAGCTAGTTACCTTCCACAAACACCAGATGAGAGCGGTCAAGATGACCAGTCCTACAATTAAACTGACGGCGATGATGAAAATCTTCACAGCCGCTGAGGGTTTCTGGGTAAAAACAGCTTCCACCACCACCTGGAAATTATTAACACTTTTTAACAACCAGATCTGTTGAAATGCCCTTAAGGATTTGGGAAAAAACACAGGAGCTTAACAAAGCCTTGTTTATAGTATTTAGCATTAGACTTGGGTTTCCTGTTTTCGGGTATTTTACCAGTGCAGGTTGATCCTTGATTAGGACAGTGTGAGCATCTTCTCTGGGCGACAACACGGTCGCTGTGCTCTCCAACATCATAACATGATGACGGCCCTGAGACAGGAAGCAGCGTTTATTTGTAACAAGGAGAGCAGCCTGCTGAAACTGATCAAAGCAGTTTAGTCCAATTTTTGCAGATACGCAGCAAAACCATTAAATCTGTAAACACTAGAGCAAATGTCTTAGTCCACTTGAAATAAGACAAATCTAATTTCAGCAGCTTGTTTGAAGTTAATAATTCCTTATTTTTAATGATAAAGTAGATTATTGCACTTATAAGTGGTCCATTTTCAGCAATATTAAGAATTTATTAACTTAAAACAAGCCTGTATATCTTCCATTACATGTAAGTAAGTTTTGATTTATTTCAAGTGCACTTATAAATTTGCACTCGAAACTGGACTAAAAATACTTTGTGAGATTTTGTGTTTTTGCAGTGTATGCAATAATTATGTTCACAAACTAACACTTTTTAATGCAATTTATGTTTCATGTTTAAAGGACTGAAGGCACAATTGGGTTAAAAAATTCCTAAATTAATGAACATCAGTTGAACAACATGTTGGTCTGGTGCTGCAATAAGCAACTGGTCTGCAATTCCTTCATAAAACAAAAAGAAACATTCAACTTATTGAGTAAGATCATGTGGGCTGGTTACCGGTGCTTGCAGCAGCACAGCAGGATTCAGGCTGATCTCCAGCTGGATGGTAGCATCTCTGCCCGCATCCATGTTACCAAGATGACACACCAGCTGCTCACACAGATTGTCGACGCGGCCACAGAACTACACAAACACACACATGTGAAATAGTTGAACCAATGAAAGGCAGTTTGTCATCTGGATAGGGGAGCAGTACATCACAACTACATCTCACCTCACTGGCCACCTGCTGCTCAGAAATCAAAAATCTGATCTTTTCCTGACCAGTGAATGCATCATACCTAGCCTGTGCTTTGTTGAGCTGACAACAAACACCTTTCACTGTTTGTGCTGAAACTGGGGGAAGACTCAACGTTCTCATTATTAGTGAAACGTTTAAAATAGATGCAAGGGGAGGCGCAAAAGGTTAAGAGGAACCTGTATTTTGTAACATGTCTGTGGTTCATTCAGGCTACAAGAGAGAAAAATACAGAAATATGTCAGTAAAACTTTAGTTCATAAAAATATAGAAATATTCTGTTTTGTTTTACAATTTATTCATTTTTTGTGTGAACTGATGGTCACAAAATGATTTCCAGTTTTTAATACAGGGAACGTGGTCTAAACTCTGATTTGAAAAAGACACAAAATGTAATAACATATTATAGCTGCTAAAACGATATTGAATCACCTGAAATCAGTAGATAAGAAGCTCAAAGCCAAACGTCTCAAATTCTGACTGATGCATTTCTAATCCTACTTTATTTACGGCCTGACATTTTCTTTGGTGCAACTGTGACTTCAGAATTTAAACAGTCATGTAACCTTTGCTGCCTCTGTTCGTCTGATGAACTGCTACGTAATCCTGAGTCATATACTTCTGAGAAGAAAAGATCGTCTTACCATTGTGCGGGTTTTGGTAGGAGAGAAGAAGAAAACGATCTGTTTGATGAATGAAGCTTGGGGAACGTTGCAGTCCTCAGTGACTGAAATCGTTTTATCACTTATTGAGCACGAACCATGTGATGACTACAGAAAGAGAAAAAAATGGCATTAATATGAAAGATCCTTTCCAACATCTAGTGTCTAGAGCTACCGCTATGTGCAGCTATCACTCCTAATCGGCATTTGGAGTGATAGAAACTTGGACTCTATTTTTACCTTCCAGTCGATGAACTGCAGCAGTCTGTGTGGGTACGGTGCCAGGATTTTTGGCAATGCAATCTGAACCACTGTGTTTAACGCCTTGCTGGGTCCAGAGTTTAACACCTGCATGAAAACAAAATAACAGAGAAACCAAAAGATTCAAGTTCGGTGTAAAGGATTTCAAAGATCTAGTAGAATATAAAATAAAAATGTTATTTATTTTTCAGCAGCTTTACAGATTGGCAGTTTTTTGTTTTCAGTCAGTATGAGATGACATACCAAAGAGGATCATGGTTTGTGGTTTAATAATGACTTGATCTAAAGACATGGTTCTGCATGCAACACTGCAGTAAACAAACTCCAGTGTTGCTGAATCACCATCTCATCTCGCTATATTTGCTGTGTGCTTGTTATATTTGTAAATTACCAAACAGGTGTGAATTCCCAACATCTTATGACAAATATTTTTGTCCTCAGGTGCTGTGTCTTCACAGTAAAGGCAAAATAAATAAGCTAATTTCTCAGACAATTTTAACATTATTTGTGATGGAAATAAATAGAAAAAAGAAAAGTAATTTGCCAGTACTCTTTTTTCCTGAAATCACTTCTATCTTGTCCCTGGTTTAATAACGACTTTACACAAAAAATGCAACAGCTTGGATAAAGTCAACGTTCTATAACTGCATAGAAAACAACGTTAGCTTTTCGCTTTAAAATTTGTTTTTTAATGGTCAAATGTAACAACTGATCTTTGGAGAAGTTGAATTTTCTGTTGCCATTAGCTGTAAGCCAGAGTCATCAAAGCTAACTGAAATAAATACAAAATAAATTAGCAAAATAGGAGGAACATTTTTGATACTATTTCACCTGTAGCTACTGAACACACTTCAAGAAACACCTGAACCTACCTTAAATGTGTAGTTGAATTTTTCAGGGTAGCAATCAGCTGGAATCAAGTCTTCATCGCCAAACACAAAAGACGCTGGAGTCACAAAACTGTAAACACAAGAAGGACATTCAGCTGGTTATGAAGCATCTCTAATGTTTTTCTACCTACAATTTTGTATATGTTCATCTCCCTCCTTTTATTTCAGCTGTAATGTGTCTAAATTTGACTGACCCGTGGATGTTGATACCAACTCCATGTTTCAGAGGAAGAATAAGCGTCATGCTGTTATCTCGGAGAAACTCTTCCATCTCGTAATTGTCACTGCAAATGGACACAATAATCACTTTTCTTTTAATGGCTTTTATCTGTAGGGTCACTGCTTTAAAGCTAAGCTTCAGTGATGACATCAGGGGCGACGGTGAGGTCACTACCTGCTGGTGTTGATGTTAATGTGAATGTTGCCAGGTGTGCTGTTCTGACTGACATCCAACAGAAAACTGATATTCATCTGCGAGAAAAGAGGGGGTAACATTTTATTTGACAGGGTGTGAATAAGACTGTCACGGCATAAACATGTAATAACATGTCATGAACATGAGCAAGTCTTCATAAATATTTATGACTGTTGTCATAAAGTGTCATTCGATATATCATGACACTTTTAATACAAAG